ATCTTAATTGAATCATTTTTCCTGGCAGTGGACTCACCCCCATTTCCAAATTCTCACAGTGGTGATTGGAAACATGGGTAAAAACTGAGGGGTGGATAGGGAGTGGCTGTTTGGCAACAGGGGAGCTAGAAACTAGGAGAAGGCACAGATGTTTCTTACCACCTTCAGTCTCTAGAATGAAAGGAAGAGCTTGGGAAAAGCCATGTGGCCCAATCCCCTGCCTCTAGAAATCACCTCAATCTAACTTAACTGCTTTAGAGTGGGACCAGGGAGTCCTAGTGTGAAGTATGGACAGAGCTCTGCCATTTAAGAATTCTTAACCTTTCTGTACCACAATTTTCCCCACTTATAAAATGGGGGTAACAGCAGTACCTACTACCCACACAGATAACGTATATTAAGTAAGATCATCTATATAACAATGGCTTAGCACAGTGCCTGGACTGAGGAAAGCACTTATTAGTGCCTTTTATGAATGGGATCTTTTGCTATGCTAAATGAATGCTTAGGTAACTGGACTTAACCCTCACCACATCTCTATGACCTGCACATGTCCCTGAACCCATTTTACAGATGAGCAAACTAAGGTTCAGAGAAATGGGGCATCCTGTCCACAGTGACACAGTCAAACCAGTGTGTAAACACCTGCTCTTTCCATTGTACCACAGTGCCTTCATTATTGCCAGGAAGTTCTTTTAACTAACCCCTGTCCTTCATGCTGTGTGCTCAGTGGAGAACATTGGTGTCCCAGCTGTTCCTAAAACTACATCTCTTTTCTTTTCCTTTTACGTAAGCAAGATGTTTCTAGCTTTTCCAAATGCATACAATAAGCCAGTGAAGATAACAAGGTATAGTTGGGGGCCCTGATGGGGCCAAGTGGGACAAGATGGTCCAAAGCAGAAGGCAGTACAGGAAGAAGAGATGAGCCTGATGCCTGAGGGAACAGAGCGGCAGAGAGGACGGGTGAGCCTGGCTGATAAGGCAGGAGCAGCACGAAATTAAACTGCGAAATGAAAGATATTTTTTAAATTTTACCTTCTAAGAGGCACCAGGGATGTTACGGGAGACAAGGTAAGGAAGACGACAGCCTGACACCACACACAGTCAAGCAGATAGGCACATTTCTGGAACTGCCATGTGAGGACTGGAATATCTGCCTGTGAGAGTCGGTGCAGAATGGAGATGATGAGTCTGTCACCTGGCAGATAGACAGTGCTTTGACACATGGTAGTTATAGGTGTTGCTAACAAGAGGTGGGAAAATGGGAGACCAGCAAGCTGGACTGAGCCCTCAGATCGTTCTCTTTCGAGAACCTATAAACACCTTTCAAGAAAATGTAGTAAACAGGTTAAGAGTACAAGGTCTGGAGATAGACCTCTGGGGTTTGAGTCCTAGCTTTGCTATTTATAAGCTGTGTAACCTTAGACAAGTGACTTTTAGTACTCTGTGCCTCAGGCCTCAGTTCCCGCATTTGTAAAATGGGATGATGATAATAACGGCACATACCTCATAGAGCTGCTGTGAAAATTCAGTGGGTTATAGATTTAACACAATGTCTGCCACACAGTAAACATTCCATAAGTCATTTTTCCATCATTTAAAAATTAGGAAAATTAAGGGAAAATTCTCAACTTGTTTTATGATACCAGCTTTACCCTAATAGCAAAGCCAAAGACATTATAAGAAAACTACCAACCAATATTCCCCATGAACATAGACACAAAAAATCCTCAACAAATTATTCCAAATCTAACTCAGGAATATATAAGAATGATAATAAACCAAGATAAAGTTGGGTTTATCCCAAGAATGTAAAGGCAGCTCAACATTTGAAAATCATTCAGTGTGATCCACTGTATTAAAAAACCTAAAAAAGGAAATCCATGTGATCTTCTCAGTAGATATAAAAAAAGTATTCAACAAAATTCAACATCCACTTATGATAAACATTCATTAAACTAGAGAACTTCTTTAATCTGATAAAGGGCATCAATAAGTAACCTATAGGTAGTATCACATTTGATAAAATATGGAACGTTTCCTCTCTAAGATCTAGAACAAGGCAAGGATATCTATTCTTGCTACTCTAATTCAACATCATACTGCAAGTTCTAGCCAGGAAAGAAAAAGAAATAAAAAGGTATACTGGACAGTGGCACCTGGGCAGTCCAGTCAGTTGAACGTCTGGTTCTTGATTTCAGCTCAGGTCATGATCTCACAGTTCCTGAGTTCAAGCCTCAAGTTGGACTCTACACTGACAGTGCAGAGCCTTCTTGGGATTCTCTCTTTCTGCCCCTCACTCATTTGCACACTCTCTCAAAATAAATAAACAAACTTAAAAAATTGTTTAAGGGGTGCCTGGCTTAGTCGGTTGGGTGTCCGACTTCAGCTCAGCTATGATCTCATAGCTGGTGGGTTTCAGCCCCGCGTCAGGCTCTGTACTGACAGCTCAGAGTCTGGAGCCTGCTTCAGATTCTGTATCTCCCTCCCTCTCTGACTCTCCCCTGCTCACACTCTCTCTCTCTCTCTCTCAGAAATAAATAAAACAGTAAAATTTTTTAAATTGTTTAAAAAAGGTATACTAGAAGGAAGAAATTAAACTATTTCTATTCACAAATGATCTAATTGTCTTCAAAGAAAATCACAAAGACTCTGCACAATAAAAGCTCCTAAGAACTAATAAGGAGTTTACCATGTTTGTAGGACACACTGTTAATATGCAAAAACCTATTGTATTTCTATATATTAGCAATGAATAATTTGAAACTAAAAATTGGAATTAAAAAAAATAGACTTTCAAATTTTCTTAAAAACCCAGAGGAACTAACATTAGGCTCATATTCCCAGAAGATTGGCTGTGGATGAGGAATGGACTACTTTCCTTTGTAGCTGTTTTTTGGTGTGTGTATGTGTGTGTGTGTGTGTGTGTGTGTGTGTGTACACATGTGCATGCACATATGTGCATTAAACAGGCAATGACATTCACATTATTCAAAAACCTAGTAATATAAAAAGGCACACATTGCAAAATCTCCCTCCCATCCATTTCCCCTGCTCATCAATTCCTAAATCCATCCCATCATCACTACTACACAGGTAACTAGTTCACCAATATCTAGGTTTCTTATTTGTTCTTTCAGAGTATTTTAGTTTATATATGAGCACGTATGAATACAGAATGTCGACTCTTCCTTTTTTTTTTTTTTTACTGTCCTCAAAATGAGCACATTATACACTCTGTCCTCCCTCTTGCTCTTTTTTCACTGATATATTAATCATTCATCATGGTATATTAAAGCTTTTTCATTTTTTTATGAAGCTGCATAGTATCCCATTGTGTATCTGTACCATAATTTAATGGCTGCCCCTTTCAAAAGCATATGAGTACCCTAATGTGAAAGTCCCTACACGCAGTACCTTACTGTTCTCTGTAACCTGTATGGCCCCTCTTTGTGCACATTTGACCTTAGGATCCCTGTTATAACAGTGGAGGAAAGAACACTGCATGAGGAGTCCTGGATTCCGGGCTTGGCTCTGGCAATAACTCACTGTGTGGGCCTGTCAGAGGCCTGAGAGACTTGGGCTTTGCTTGTATAGCTCAGTTGGAGACATGGCTCATAAATGGGACACAAGCGTTGATCAATGAAGTAGCTATGCTGGAGGCTGGCCGGACTGCCTTGCTGGGGTCCAGAACAGTAGCTTTGTTGTTCTTGCCCCTGCATGATTTCTGTAATCATCCCATGTATAATTTCTGCTTTTGAGGTTGCATATAATATGCATTGCATTGGAACTGAATGGACATGGATTTGGACCCTGTATCTTACCCATGTTTGTTGTGTGATCTCAGATATAAGACTCCACCTCTGAGCCCCAGTTTTCATTTATAAGAAGATAATTAGCCAAGTTCAGCACTTAAGGAAGGGGTCTCTTATGTCAGACTTCATGGGTTTGAATCCTAGCTTCCCTACTTACTAGTCTGTGATCTTGAGCCAATTTCTCACTCTCTCTGAGTCTCGGCCTCATCAATGAGATGGGACCATAGTAATACCTATCTCATTGGGTTGTTGTGAGGATTAAATGAAAATGTAAAAATGCTTAGCACCATTCTTGGCACATGTTTGCCCTTGTTATGGAGTAAGAGTTCAGTAAGTGTTATTAACCTTCTGTGCCCTGCATTGTTGTTGTGTTAATCCAAAATAAAATACACAAAGGCTTCTCACAATCCCTCAAACACTGTAGGAGCTCAATGAGTACCCGGCATTGTTTTTACTGTCTAACATGTCAACAGGCCTGCTAAATCTCCTGAAGCCATACATTGCTTTACACATAGGTCTTTCCTGTAAATGTACAATTCCACTCAAAGTGCACCCACCAGGAATGAAACTCCTTGCCCTGGCAAACTAAGAAAGAATTATCCAATGGATTAAGCAATCAATTCCATTATAAGCCTATGGAATTTGTATTTCTCAGAGAGTTGCGTGTGGTTCAGTGAAACCTCCAGAAATACTTTGAGTCCAGAACATGAAACCTTCTTCAGCTAAAGTTGATAAAGGGACTGACAAGCCCCCAGAAGACTGCCTTGCACACTGTAGCCAGGATCATAAAGAGAAGCGAGGCAGGGAAGTGAACACAGATCCTGCCATTGAACCTCCATGTGATGTGAACTTTGTGGGCAATGCTGATAGGAGATGCCAACCCTGCAGAGGGTGCCATGAAATGCTGGTGCAGGGAAGGGCAGGTGTCTTAAATTCAAATACCTACTAGGGGCAGTCAGCATAAATAAAGTGGCCCAGTTTTAAGAAATACTTCACTTACTCAAAGAATCATGCTTCCCTGCTGTTTTTCTGAAAACATGTGGCTCTTTTGGTCTAATTCTCCCTCAGTGATAGAAAGAGATGTACCAAAACGACTGCACTCTCCTCTTAACAACTGCTTGCGTGTTTGTCGCACTTACTATGTACTAGGTATTCTTCAAAGCATTTTACAGACACCAGCTCATATAATTCCCTTAATGCTCTTTTGAGGTATGCATACTTATCATGTCCATTTTTCAGATGAGAATGATGAGATGCCCATGGTCACATAGCTAGAAATAAACAGAGTGATACTCATTACTGCTGTCCAGCTTTATTATAAGAAAATGGCAACACATACACACCATGACAGCTGACAAGTGACACTTGGGCTAGATCACGAGGGATGGGGGTAACAGACAATAGAGAGGAGTGGGGACTGGAGGAGGTTAGAAAGTACAACCACCACTCAGCTCTCCAGCCAATGTAGTGTTGCCAAATTCTCCCAAAAATCTACAAATCCAGATTTTTATATGGAATATTCCAATGTTTCAATGTTGACAACTAACTCAAACATTTTTAAAAAAATATTATTCAAGTCAGCACTGCATAAGCCAAACCAAACATATCTTCAGACTTGATACAGCCCACCAGGCTGACATTCACAAACTCCAGAGTGGATGAAGCTTTAAGAGGCACCAAGAAATGCCAACGGGGTCACAGTGTGTGGAGAATAAAAACAAGAAGCTAGGGGGAGGAGTAAGGAATAAAAGAGAGGAAGACCCAAAGATATACATGAGTAAAAAAAAATGCCAACTCAGGAAACCAGGGGTTTGGCATGACTAGAAGAGCTCCAAACAGTACCACAAATTTCATGTTAACAATGTCCTGGAACACAAATCCACCTTTTTTTTGTTTTGTTTTGTTTTTTTGTAAGTGGGAAGAGCCCTTAGGACCTGACAGCATGGTGGATTAGGATATGGGCTCATGGTCCCCCAGTGACCTGGATTCAAGTTCCATCCTGTGACTTCCTAGTGGTGAGGCTCTGGCAAGTTGCTTAAACCTCTCTGAGCATCAATGCTGCTCTCTGCAGAATGGGTAGAACAGTGCCTTTTTCACAGGGTGTATGAACAGACAAAATGAAGCAATACATGGCTAGCAGGGGCCCCAGTGTCTGCCACTCCGTGGCCACTCTTTTTTAATGAATGCACTATCATTTTATAACATGAGGAAACTGAGACCTTAGCCAATGTTGCAGAGCTAGGAATGGCAGAGTCTAAACCAGAACTTACTTTCCCAACTCTAACTTAGTTCTCTTTTTATAAAAATTACACTGCTGGTGATCTCTTGAGGAAGCAAAGTGATAGGAGTAAAGGAGAAACAGGCTGTGGAACTTTAGAACTCAGAGTAATCATCTAGATTTGGGGCCATTTTGTTGTTGTTGTTACTGTTGTTTGATGTAGGATTATTTTAGGTGGCACAAGGTTGCATCATTATTTAATCCCTTTTCATTTTTCTCAACCCTTCTGATTCTATGAAAGGGAAAGTCTCATCTTGGTGCTAGTGTGTCTTTAACACCTCTTCACATGTGCTAAACCTTTTTAACAGACACAGAGCAGGCCTAGAGCTCAGCTTTGGCAAGCAGCAGTATCTAGCTAAAATTTAATGTCACCATTATATTGTCATTATATTTATGTTTAAGGCCATCTTCTGTTTGCAACAGAGAGGTGGGTTTGGGATCCAGGGTTGCTAAATATCCATGCTGTCCAATATAGTAACCAGCAAACTCATGTGGCTATTGAGCACTTGACATTTGACTAACACAACTGAGGAACTGATTTTTTCATTCAATTTCATTTCGATTCATTTACAATTAAGCCCTGATACTTGATTCAGTTATTGGAAAATAACTGAATACTGGAACAACTTGGGTATGTGAATCTACTCTTTTCAACTGTGTATTTTTTGACATCTAAAGAGAGATCAGGATTTCCACTGAAAAATTTAGCATCCTTAGAGAAATGTGCTCAGAATGTGAAATACATGACCAACTTTGGAAATTTAGTATGAAAAAAATTAAATATCTCATCAATAATTTATATTGATTACATTTTTGGATGAACACAGTTAAATAAAATACATTGTTAAAATTAATTTCACCTGTTTCTTATTTTGTTAATGTGGCTGCTAGAAAAACTGAGATTGCATATGTGGCTCACATTACATTTATATTGGACAGCGGTATAAAGTATAAATTAGGGAGCAAAAAGACAAATCACTTTAAAACAAAATGTTAGTAACAGCACAGAAAACACAAGAATATGGCAAAAATCATAACACTGGTGGGGCAATCACTAAAATCTGGGGAGCTCTGATCTAGTACAATGCTCTTAATACGAAAACTGAAACCCTAGAGAGGACAAGAAATTTCCCTGAGGTTACACAGCTCATCAGGTATGATCGTGACCCCAAATCTTCTAGATTCTGAATCCAGTGTGCTTTGGCCATTGCAACAGGGACAGACCTGTCATCTGTACCCCACCAAGAGAAATGTAAGGAAAGGACGGTCAGGGCATGGGGAGGATGTGGCTACTTTGGATCCCACTGGAGGGGACTTCTAAGTACGGATAACCCAGGATCTTTGCTTTTCTATCAAGTGGAAGGTGAATGACTTGGGCTCCTCTTGAGTAAAAGTTATGATCAGATGAACTACAGTGAGAGTTGGGACTTTCAACCCAAATATATGTTTTTCATTTCACCCCATGGCAAGGAAGGATGAGACAAGAAACCAGGAAGCACAATTAGGCAAATCTGCATTTAGTGATTCACTTATCCCTCCCTCCCTCCATTCATGTGCCTGGCACTGACAAGTACCAGGAGCTATAGCAGGCTCATGGCAAGTCTAAAAAGAACCACTCAATGTCTGTGTGTTCATGTGGGGAAAACGAGCATAACCAGAAACCTGAATAAATGTACATAGTCCCATGTGAGAAGAACATGAAGGAGAGGGTGATAAAAGAGCTTTTTGTGGGGGGACTTGCCCTAGTGGGGAAGACCTAGAACCTTAAGACTGAGAAAGCAAAGAATGGAAAGAAGAGGTGAGGGGGACAGGCTTCACGATGACTCTTAGGCAAGAGGGGACTGGAGCAGCATGAAGGAACAGAAAGAGGGCAAGTCTGGAGTGCCAAAGGTGGCCTGAGGACAGGAAGAGAAGAGGGCATGAGATGTAAGCAGAGGAAACAGGAAGCCAGAGCTTTAAGAAGCCACACAAAGTGACCCTGAATTGGGAGAACACATTCTACAGTACTGACTCCTTTCAACTTCTGGTATCCACCAGTGATTTCCTTTCTTTCCCCCTCTCATACACCAGAATATTTGGCAGCTGAGACCTGGGGCAATTGCTTTTCCACCACAGACATTTCTTATAATTTTCAGCTAACTTCCATGAAAACTATCCACCACATCACTTCACAGGAGGGACTAGCCACAGACCCAAACAGAGAGACATGTACACACACACACACAGAAATGCGCGCGCACACACACGTGCACAAACAGACATACACAAGCACATATACAGATACCACATAGACACACAGATGCACAGACAGGCAAACACACAGACATACACACAGAGATGTACACCCCCAGGGATACACACAGAGAGATATGCACGTGCGTGCACACACACACACACATACCCCTCCCACAGTCAAAGGTATAGAATGGTCTGGTGATTTTGTCCTTGCTATAGCCTTTTGCTTTTAGCATTCTGACCCTCACCACCATGGTTCAGCTCCATAGAGCTGCTGCCAAGAACCATCATCTGCCTCTTGAACGAAAAGCAGTGGCTTCCCTGTAAGGTATCAGAATGAAGCAGTGACTGAAGAGAGAACTCCAGAGTGGCTCGTGCTATAAAGAGGGAAAGGATAGGCATTCCTTAAAGGAATCACAGGCCCACACTCTTGCCCCTCACAGTGCCTGTCTCCCATATCATGTCCGCCCTCCACACCCAGGACCCTTCCAGAACACCACCTGTCCTGGCTGAAAGGCATCAGGAAAGTAACACTGGCTTAGGAATTGGGCATACCTGGGGGTTTGAATCCCAGCACTGCAACTTTGCTAGCTGTGAGGTCTTAGGCAGGTAATTTACCCTTCCTGGAGCCTCAGTTTCCGTTTCCTCATGTGAGAATGGGGGTGATAACAACTTTATTTACTTAGCATATATATGTGGCATTCCTTTCATTCTACCAGGGAGACAAGTGGTAAACAAGTAAACAAATGCACACACAACACTCTTTGACATTTTGATACATGCTATTAGGAAAACAACGTGGTAAAGAAATAGGGAACTATATTAGATAGGGTGGTCAGGAAGGGGCTCTCCCAAAAGCTGATGTCCAGACTAAGATTGGAATGATGAGAAGGAGACAGCCACAGGAAGTGCAGGGAAAGGGCATACCAGCAGAGGGACCCCACAGGGTAGAGGCTCAGAGGTGGGAAGGAGATAGAGTCAAGGCAGACTTACATGTCTGGAATTCAGTGAGCAAGAGGGAGAGTAACAGGAGATGAAGAGAAAAGGTGGGCACTGGCTGGATTGTGGGGGCCTTTTGGTCCATAGTTGAGGGATCTGGATTTGCAAGAAGAGACGGGAGCTTTTTAAGTGGGGGACATGACCTAATGTGAGTTTTTCAAAGGTCTCTCTGGCTGCTGTGGAAAAAAAAACAAAAAACAAAAAACAAAAAACAGACGGAAGGTGGTTTAGGAGGGAAGCTGCAAGAAGAGGAAGCTGTTGCAGTGTGAACAATCTGTGGTTTCCAGGAGGAGAGAGTTAGCAATACCTGTAGAGTGCCCAACACAGTGCCTGGCGCATAGCAGGAGTATGGGTCAAGGGTCATGTTCACAGCCTCTCCAATCCTACTCCCACCCCATCCTCCATCACCTCGGTGTCCAAGTGAAACAGCATCAGACACGTGTAGTGAATAAACTAACAATGTCCTCAGATATCAAGGACATCTGTGCCTGGCTCTCCGGGCACCGTGGCAAAGCGCCCACAGAATAACAGAGAGCTATCATCTTGGTTGTGGCAGTGGGCAAGTCCTGCTAATGATCCAGCTGTCAGTTGTGAGAGTCCTGACCAGAGAGAAAGCAAGTGTCTGGACAAGAATAAAAGGGTCACCTTCAGCACTGTCATTTGACAAATGAACAGGATTGAGTTCTGGCTGGCATGGTAGAGACATTGTTACCACGACTGCATTCAGTTCTAATGACCCAAGGTATGATAGGAAGAAGGAAGTAATGCCCCCAAGATTGAGGTGAAGACTCCAAGGACATCCTGAAAATGGGCAGAGAATGCTCATGGAAGAGGAAAGAAAATGGTAGTTTGCTTCTTGAATCTTCTCAGTGTTAGACCTTCTGGCCAAATGGCTCTGAGAAAAAAGAGGACTTTTTTTTTCTTTAATCACTATCAGTACTGAATAATTTCCTCAAAATTCTATTCATATACATGCTGGTTAACACCCTTCTCAACCACCTTCATATAACCTCCTGAAGAGGCCAGGACTTGGGGGGTCATAGCCAGGCAACAGCCAACAACCAACCAGAAACTCAGACACCCTGGAATGTGAAAGAAGCCTATGGAAGGTTTTCTTAAAAAGCAGTACCTTGCCTATTAACACTCAGAGGCAATCTCATAAAAATTCAGATTTCTCATGAGTCTTGGAAAATTTCAAAGGCTGGAAAAACTTAGCTTCCCCTGTCACTAAGTGCCTAGAACCAACCAGCCATAGCCTCCTTTAGATGGCGCTTGTGCTATCCAGTTCATCAGAGTCCCCACCTTCTCTATGGTGCCCCTAGCACAAAAGTTTTATATATACGTATAAATACATATACCTGGCCTGTTTCTCTCACTTCTTTTCCCTACCTTGATCCTACAGGATTTTAAATTTGCCGTCTTACTGCCTTCCTTGAATTTAATACACACATACACATATCCCATATCCATTTATACCATCACACTTTTAGCCTCATCTACTCTTTCCAGCCACACTAAAAGCTTTCCTGCAAGAAGGGAAGTTGGTGAAAACCTGGGTTAGAGATCCACTGGACTTTCCATCTATGTGCAGTTAATCTTCCTGAATGCCTATCTCCATATCTGTAAAATGAGGATAAATAACAAGGATGCACTCCTTGTTGAGGGGAACACACATGACAACGTACCTGGCACATGGTAGGTTTTAAATACAGTTTTTTTTTTTTTTTCTTAAGCAAGGATTTCCTATCAGATCCCCACCTGGACTCCTTAGGCTGTGTTAAAGATCTGGCTCCATTTCATGAGGCTGGATTTCATTTCATTTCATACTTTGTGCCAGGAGTTCTAGGGGATAAAGATGAACAAAAGACAAACATAAACATGACATGGCTCCTGCCCTTAAAGAACTCACACTCTAGATGGGTAGAAAGGCAAGTCAATAATCATAACATGATATGACAAGTTCTATAACAGGGGTGGGGGTGAAGCATTTAAATTCCTGTGGGACCTCAAACTTATCTTTGCCTGGGGGCATCAAAAATCTGAGTTAGGTTTTGAATCCCTGACAGTAGACAGGGGATCTGAGTCATCTCCATGATGCCAGTACCCTCTGGGGGTCCTTGGCACATGGTAGGGGGCTTAGCAAATACTGAATGCATAGGTGGATAGGTGGGTGGGTAGGTGGGTGGATGGGTGGGTGGGTGGATGGATGGATGCATTAGATGAGTAGGTGACTGTCTTCTTTATCCCATTAATGTCATGTCCATACTGACCTTGAAGAGACTGAAGAAAACATCTTGATCACGTCATCATCATTACCACCACCACCACCATTTATCAAGCACTTAATCCAAGCCAAGCACTGAATCGAACACATTATTCCACATGGCCTCATTAAACCCCACAGTAATGCCTGTGAGGTGTTACTTCTCTCATCCCCATTTGGCAGATGGGGGAACTGAGGCTCTGAGAAGTAAATTAACCTGCCCAAGGCAATTAAGCTCCTGAGAAGCAGAGCTGAGACAGAGCAGACTTGTGTATCACTGCTTGTACTCCATGCCTGCCACTGGGCCTGCTGCAAACATTGGTATTCAGAGCATCAGAAAAGACAAATGCTGTGTCTACAGATCTCTGTCTTGGTTCACCCTCCTAGCCTGGTCTTTGCAGCCATTTTAAGGGACTATGTCCTCCTTCCTGATTGAAGACTCTCCCAGTGTTCCCACTGCCCTCTCCCCAAGCAGATGGTTTAATTACTTGAAATTATTTTTGAGCAAGGACAGGCAGGTGAATTCCCTCTCCACCTCACACCTAACCTACAAAATGGAAATTGAGTTGCTTTTTTTTTTTTAAGTAGCATACTGTGATGAAACAATTTCCATGAAAACTCTGCTCTTCCAAATCCTTCCAAGGTTTCTGTTATCAGCCATAAATGGGCTTAGTTAGTTTCAGTCAAATCCTCAAATTTTCAAATCCAGTTCATGTGGTGAATGTTTACTGACCACCTATTATGTGCCAGGCTCTATTCCTCATGCTTAAAAACAGTCATCAATAATAGCCACTAATGTTAATATAGTCCTGGCCAATATGCAAAGTGAATTAAAATTTACAAAGGGCTTTCTCATCCATTATGAAACTGAAGCTCAGAAGAGTTAAATAGCTTTCTCAAGTTACTACTGGTAGGCCAGGTTGAAAAGCAAAGTTACATCCTATACAAAGCTGTCAAAGGTAGGAATGATCCCCAAAATGGAGCCTCCCCAATGAATCCTGCCAGGACTTCCCATTATTCATTCATTCATCACAAATTATGTGCTAGCTATTAGTGACACAAAAACAAATAAATCTGGGTTCCTGCTCTCAAAGACTCAATCTAGCTGGAGAGATGAAGAAGCAACCCACAATAGCATGAAAATTGGTAAGAGATGTACAAGAGGGAAGCCCATGTACCACAGGACAAAGAAGGAATCAACCCCAGTCTTGGGTTGGGGGGCAGTGCTGAGAATGCATCAGGAGTCACAGGGCAGATTTTTTTTTTTTACCCCTACTATCTGGAACTCACCTTCTTCCTATCTGGTACCCAATATGCCATGTGAATTCTGACCACAAATCTATTTCTTCATCATACACATGTATGGGGCATCTCCTTCACATAAGAACCTTTGATAAGAACTGGGAATGAGAGAGATGAATGGATTCTGCCCATACTTTTAAGATGTGTACTGTCCAGTGAGCAAAAACAAGTAAGTTGAAAATTATAAGGTTGTACTATATGAAATTATCACCACTTGGCCATTTTTTACCTTTTAAAATGTACATGTTCATTTTTTTATCTTTTAAAATATACAAAATATACACCTTATAGTGTTATAATTTGCTGTTCAGAAAAAAAGCCCCAAACCATTGATCCGATATCATATTCATGCATCTACCACCACATCCCCCATGTAGCAGTAGCCATGGCTGAAGCTTGGAGAACACAATTACTCAAGACTCAATGGTAGAAATTAAACTAACAGCTATTTACCATAATTGTAACTAACATGAATGGAATGCCTACTACCTATTAGGCACTGTTTCAAGCAATTCCCATGAACTAACTAATTTATCCTTCTAACTCATGAGGTAGGTGCTATTATTACCCCATTCTACAGATGGGGTACAAGAAACTGAGGCACATGGTAAGTTGTGATGTGGCTCAAAGTCATGCAGTTAGTGCTATGACAAAGCCAGACTTCTAACCCAGACATCAGGAGTGAGAGCCTGTGCAGCCAACTGTTCAGCTGAAGCACTAATTGTGCTTTTGGTCAGAATAGTTCTTCGGTTCCAGGATCATCCAAGTGGGACTTTCATTAAAGCCATGATCTTTTCCACTGAAATGGAGATGGGTTGAGGCACTTATCTCTGGGGTATAGAACTGTAAAGGCTATCTGTGTTGGAGGTAAAATCAGGTAGGAATCAGGTGGAAAATCTTCCCCTGAGAGGATATGGGCAAGATAGTGGGGGTGGCATCTAACTCCCCCATCAGGCCAACTGGGTTTAAGCCTTATTTTTCACACTAGTAAAAAACAGAGCCAACAGAACAATCTTGCGAGAGACTCTGAAAGACTTTGGACTCAAGCAGGCCTGGCTGGCGATCCAGGAGACAAAGCGCAACCCAAGGTTGAAATGTAAGCCATTCTCTTCACCTCTGCTAGGAGTATAACCTCTGAGAGTGTTGGCACTTAGAGGCTTGTGAATGGAATCTTCTTCCCATTCCATTGTGTAATCAAGTATTGCTATTACTTTTGGGCTTTGGTTCTCTTGAGGATTCTCTTGCTGGTTCTAATAACATTTCAGCTAATTCTCCTGAGTTCTCTAAGCATACCATTATATGATCAGTAAATGATGATGATGATGCCTTCTTAAATAGTTACATAGTTATCCTCCTTATTTTAGCTTCCTACCTTATCATTTTGGCTACACTGTAGATTTGGATTCTTTGTTAGCAGCTTTAATATTTAATATCAGTTAAACTAGTTTTACCAATAATATTTTATCAGAATGAGGAGAATGGATTGGGTTTTGGATCAAATGCAGACAGACTGCTTTGGGAACAGAACTAAGTTCCTGTAGTAACTCAGGTGTAATATGACATCTAGGCTCGATGCTTCACTAAACATTTATCAAGTATGTAACATGTACCATGTATCAGGTACTGTACTAGTGACTGAGAATGTGGCCCAAAATGAGACAGACACACCTGCCTTCCCAGAGCTCCCAGCATCAGGATGACCAAGGAAAGAGAAAAGACAAGGCATTTCTAAAAGGTATCTGGGCCAAGAATTAGCTGATGTGGTTTTATAGATGGGCAACAAAAAAATTACTGCCAGTCTCAAAACCTGGCAGTATAAATGATAATAACCAAGAAATTGACTGAATTTTTATTAGCTTCTGAAATATTTTACATTCTATTCATCTGAAAAAAGGAGATGAGAGCAATGCCATTAGAATTTTTCATTTGTGAATGCTTTTGAAAACATGGATTCAAGAGAAATTACCAGATATTTTAATTCTCTGCTATCTCACCCCTGATACCAATCAGGCTACCTGTGAAACAATTTGTGATAATTAACATTTGTCTAACGCTTTTCCAGTTTGCGAAGCTGCTTTCCATGCTTTGTGTCCTTTGGTCCCCAAAATAACCTTGGGAGTCCGCAGAGCAATTTCAGTGAGGTTATCACACTGGATTCTTGAATTCTTATCCCCTACTTCCCTCTGGTCCACAGGTCAGCCAAGCCGGTCATTTTACAGTGCTGCAAACAAAGCATGCTTTCATACTTCCTTGATTTTGCACTTGTGGTTCCCTTATGCCAAGAAAGCAGCCCATCCCTTTCCTTTCTTGTTCAAAGAGTGCCCTATACATTCTGGGAAATCCTGGGCAGGCAGGGAAAAGCCTTTTTTCCCTAAGGCAGCGAGGAAGGCCCAGCATCTTGGAGTAGAAAGCACCCAGTAATGGTGCCATGTCAGGGTAGACCAAAAGACCAGTAGGGCACAAATTGTCCTCCAGCTGATTTAAGTGTCACTGGAAGCAATGGTTTCCAGGCCTTCGGCCTTCTTAAAGAGTGTAGGCGTTAACACTTTGCAATTAGACAGATCTGAGTTCCAATTCTGGCTGTGTGACTCACTAGCTATGTAACCTTGGGCAAGTCTCTAAACCTAATCCTAAATTCCCCCTCTCTATAGAAAGGATCTAATAACACCCACCTTTTTAATTTTTTTATGTCTTTATTTTATTTTGAGAGACAGAGAACGAGTGGGGGAGGAGCAGAGAGGGAGACACAGAATTTGAAGCAAGCTCCAGGCTCTGAGCTGTCAACACAGAGCCCGACGTGGGGCTCGAACCTACGGACTGTGAGATCATGACCTGAGCTAAGTCAGACACAACCGACTGAGCCACTCAGGCGCCCCAATACCCACCTTTAAAATGAGGGGAGTGTCAGTAACTAAATGTAAACCACTCATCACGGTTTCTAACATATAATAAGGGACTGCTAAATGGAAGTGATTATTCATTAGTAAGACCACTTCCCTTGTGGCAGAAAAAAGGTACATGTTTATCATCATCATCATCATCATCACTTCTACTATTGCTATTATTATTTACATTTTCTCTTATTTCTAAAAACCTACCTGCTTTTCCTAGTGACATTTTCCCTGTTCTTTCTTGGAAATGTTATTTCTGCTCAGAGAAGAAAGGGAGGCAGTTTGTTTTGTTATAGGGAAGGTGTACAACAAAGCATGGGGGGCATCAGTCTGGGGGTTGGACAAGCTGGCTCATGAAGAGTCAAGAACAAGAGTCATCCAAGACA